GAAGCCCACCGTATTATTCTTTTATACGGTAACCTTCCTAGGTAAGGATAAAGAAGGTAAGGATTAGCGGGCATAATCGGGATAACAGGGTAACTAATAGTCTAACGAATAGAAGAAAGAGTAATTATACGACTACCGTAATAAGAAGAGGAGCAAATATAATTATAAGCCTCTATAGAAGTGCCTAAACGTAAACGAGGCACGCAGGAAAAAGGGATACACACCTTTAAAAGAGATCTTAGAACGCTACGACCGTATTATTAAGACCTAGGATAACGATCGTTAAAAGAGATTCCGGGAGAATATCGAAAAGGACGCTAAAAGCCTAAAAATAGGTGCTAAAAAGGACTCTTAGAAGTTATAGCCGAAAGAATCGTTAACGGAGGCATCTAAGTTTATCGATAACTAGGATAAGGATTCCGACGAGGATTTCTATAGGATACATTCCCTCCTGTAGATAAACAACGTAACGGTCAGCAGTAACCTCTTTAATCAGCTACTAATTAACTCCAGCACCTTAAGGCATATCACTAACCAACGATACCTGCTATAGGGCTTCGAACCTACTATAGAAGAGCATCGTTTTTAAACGGGTAGTAGAGTAACTAAGCCAGTTAAGGGTTATGGCAGGATATAATTGGAGGTGGACGATAAATATAGCAATCCCTTCGTTTTAGTGCTAAATCGCGTTGCTTGTATATAAGACTACCTAATAACCTTAATCGCGACCAGAAGATTAAAGAAACAGGGTATCGTTTTTAATTCCGGCCTCAAAGTCCTGAAAGTGGCCTCTGAAAAGGGCTCGTTAGCCCTACCTCTTAACAACGTCAACGATTAATACGCTCTTATTCTAACGGATTGTTAATAGCACCTACTAAGCAGCTTCTTTAATAGCTCTATAACGTCTACTATAAGCGTGGCTAACGCTTATTTATAGCATAAAAGGCTAGGGCACGCCGGTGCTACTACCCTCGATAAAATAGGAGATGCCCTCGTTAGAGGCGTTATCAAACGACGTTAAAAAGGCCCTCTCGTGGTGGATTATAAGGCCTATACCCTTAGTAAGGCGAAGAAGGTTATTTCCAGAAGGTCACCTAACCACTAAACGACGAGGCTATAGTATAGGGTGGAGGTTAACCTTTTTAGCCTTAACGAGGCCTATAATGGTATAAAGGTCGTGATGCTTTTATACGATCCCTGTACTCGTTAAGCTATTATACGGTTCCGGCGTGACTATAAATCAGCCTTACCCACGTTAGTGAATTTTAAGTTCTTCCTTTAGAGGCAGTACCACTATATAATTATAGTAATCTGCCTAGATAAAGAAAGATCCCTTTAAAAAGGCTTCGATAAAAAGGCCGATAAGAGAAGGATTTTACTGGAGAGGTTATTGCTATATATAGCCGCGCAGAATCCGAAGGCAGAACGCCACGGCGGCGTTATTTTTACTATCGCGAGGACCCTCGTAACGGCCTTAGGTATCTAATAGGATATATAGCCAGAACTAATGGCTGCTATAGTATATCTATATAACCTTATCCCTCGGAAGGACCTCTAGTAGAAAACCCCTTAAGGGCAGATAGAGGATTAGATTACCAAATAAGGCCTAAAAAAGATCCTAATAATACCTATTATTAGCCACCTAAAAAGGTATAGGTATAGGATATATCCACTAACCGCCGACTATTAACGAGGACACAACCTTAACGCCAAGCTCGCGGAGAGAGTATATATTGGCTATTTAATCGGCTATAAGAGCACCAATATATATCGGATTTAGGTGCCAAAATTAGGGAGGATCCTGCGGACAAGAGACGTCACCTTCAATGAAAAACAGCTATATAAAGATCGTGACCACGAACCTAAGCTGTCAATTAAGGTTTTCGAGCAGCTTAATCTGCCTATAGATTATTAACTACACGATCTTCTAGGTATTACTACTAACGTGGTCGATTTACACCCTTAAACGCTACTAGAGCAGAATACGATTAGGGAGGCCATAGGGTAGGCTGCCACTACTACTGCCACTACTACTGCCGGTGCTTCTAGGGGGGTGGATAGAGGTGCAGGTTCAATAACCACTACAGAATCTGCAGAAGAACAACAATAGCAGGAAGATCAACCTGCTAATCAGGAGGCACGTGGAATAAGGCAAACAAGCCCTATAACGCCTTCCACGCCTCCGGCGGCACCTACTTTAATAACGCCTTCCACAATTACACCTATAATTATACCTCCAACGGCACCTGTTTTCCCTCCTCTAATACCCATAAACAGCCCTCCTACACTACTAACTAGAACTACGGATCTACCGCCTATTTTTAAACGGCCTAACAATACTAAAAATCAATCTAACGATACGGCCGTAACCAGCGATACCGTCGCGATAGGATTATTATCCCCTAACTAATCGATTCTTCAAGAGGAATCAACCACTACTACCACCGCTATTAATCCGGCATCTACGGCTCCTACTACGGCAGAGTCACCTACTACAACTAAGTCTTTATAATCCTCTTCTTCCACTACCACGGCTAACCAACCTACTTCCAACAACAGAAGAAGCCGCCCTCCTGTTATTCTAACGGCCGCTACCGATAGGCCTACGCGTGGCAGGCGTCTGACCGACCGTTATACCCCTCCTTCCTTTTATACCTTCTATAATTAGATCGAGATACCGAAGAAGCCGGTACTACGCCGCGATATACCTAAGGAACCTCTAAACTAGTCTTAAATACTAAAGAGTCCCTATAAATTAGAATAGATTAAGGCCGTCTTATAAGAGGTCAGCATGCTTAGGTTAATAGGCATATTTAAACGGTGGGAATAGTCCTACTAGCACGGGCACGGCTCGGGACTATCTAAATTAGTTCTAAGGCTACTAGACTGTAAATAGGCTTTTAAGTATAAGGTCGATCCTATAGACTACGTTAGTAAATTTAAGGCAGGCCTATATATTAAAGGGAATTAATAACTAAATAACTATCTTAACATCTACGCCTCCACCCTCGCTAAAAGGACCTTTAGGTCCTAAATAGGCATTATAGCCTACTTCGATCTCGAGACTCGGTAACTTAACGCCGTTAACGTATTCACTAATACCCTGCTTAACGAAGAGATTTATATTAAGGACCCTCCTGGGTAGTAGTTACTCTAGTCGGCTACGGGCCTTAAAGCCCACGAATAGCTTAAGGACCTTTTAAAGCAGCGCCCTCCTATATAACGAAAAGGGATTTAACGGCCATGTCGAGCGTTATATAGCCTTCGCTATTCCCTAAAGCTATAGCACTAATAGCTCTGTTCCGTACTAAGTAAGTGCGGTTTAAAGTAATTAACCGAAGACGATTACGTCTTTAAGAATAAGGTCCTAATCGCTTTCTTCTACGTTAACGATATTATTCTAATCTACCGTAAGGAATATTAATCTACTACTAATAACCTAATAAAACAGATAAAGAAAAGCTTCTAAATCAGGGATCTAGGACTAATTAAGTGGTTCCTTAGAATCCGCGTAGGACGCGATCGTTAATAACGTAAGCTATAGTTATCGCTTAATAACTATATCACCGATAAGATAAAGGCGCTATTGGTGGATTATAGAGGTTATAGGGTTAAAAGCCCTCTTCCTTATCCTAACGTCTTAGAACCCTCCACCGACTAATAAGCCTCCGAAGAATTAATCTATCTATATCTTCGGAAGGTCGGTTCTATTAACTACGCCGCCTATTAGACCCGGCCTAACGTCTCTAAAGCCGCTTCGAGGCTTACCGAATTCAGTACTAACCCGTTAAAATAGTATCACGAAGCTACTGATAGGTTCCTAAAGTATCTCGGCTCGATAAAGACC